AAAAAAAAAAAAAAAAAAAAAAAAGGAAAACACACCCCTACCATCTGACCCAACCATTCCACTAAGGTATTTACCCAAGAGAAATTAAAGCATATGTCCATTTAAAGACTTATACATGTACATGAATGTTCATAGTACCTTCATTTGTAACAGCCCCAAATGGGAAACAACCCAAAATTCCATCAGCAGGTGAATAGATTAACAAACTGTGGTATAACCATACAACGGCATGCTGCTCAGCATACAAATAACTACTGATACAGCTACAAAGACACTAGCCATGTAATCACAAACACACTCACCAACTATGCCCTGAAGGAAGGGCCCAGCAGTACATGGCATTAGGATGGCACAGGATGGGCCAAGGGCTCACCTAGTCTGGGACATCAAGAAAGCATTCCTGAAGAGTGGCCTGTGGGTTGGGGTAGGGAATTTCCAGGCAGAGCAAACAGCCTGTGCAAAGGCTCTGAGGTTGGAGAAAACATGCAAAGGAGAAGGGACCAAAAAAACCAAAAAAGGTCAATGTGGCCAGCAAGAGCGGTTGAGGTGGGAAAGGTAGGCGGGGCGCAGCTCTGGCCTGCAGGCTCTGTAAACTAAGGGGGTTTGACCTTTATCCAAGAAGAAGGGGAAGCCATTACTAGCTTTGTGAACGACCTGCTTCAGTTCCCTAGGCCCTGAAAGAGAACGGCAATACCAACTATGTGAGGTCACCCAGGAACAGCTCAATTCAAATCAAGAGACATTTACTTAGTACTTTCACACACAACGAACGGGAAGGAACACAGAAACTTACCAAACACACTTCTACACTACAGCCCAGCGGGAGGTGAGGAGTAAGGCTTTGCAAAGCAGAACAGGCAAAGCACCTAAAGTGAGGTGCCAAGGGCTCCGGGCGCCTAAGGAGCAACAGGGAAGCAGGGAGTACTTCTGAGCTGGGTCTCAAGGAGAAGCAGATCCATAGCTCGAGGAGGTGCAGGAGGTTTCCGCAAGGCTGTGGTCCTGTGTGGGATGTGGGGCTGTTGTTTTTCTTAAGCAGAGAAGATAATATGGCAGAGAAAGGTTGAGGCCCTTTACCAAGGGCTCTGCGCGCCAAACTCGAGTAGTGAAGTGCTTAGTTTAGCAGATAACGGTGCCTCCCTGGGGACTTGGAGCGGGGGCTAGCACGTCACAGCCCTTCTGGAAAGCACAGTGAGGGTGGGAAGGAAGTCGCAAATGGCTGGATGAGTGCTGGGAACCGGCCGCAACAGGGCTCACTTTCTACTTCGGGAGTCTGCAGGGTGCCTCACGGGGACCCGGGGCAGCGGCGCCAGTGGCTTAAGGGCCTGGACCAGCGACTGCTGGCCTGTACCGGCGCGCTGGGGTTCCACCCCCGTGACCGTCCTCCCTTTATTTCCCACATATGAACCACCTTGTGCGTGTGAAAGTTGCCGAACAGAGTCAAGAAACGAAAACCGACCAATTCACAGAAAGAAGACTCAGCCTGACTCTGCCGCTCCTGTCCCCTTCGGCAGGCGCAGGACACCGGGGCACCCCCTCGGCCCCTCACTTTGCACCAAGGGTTCAGATGGCGGGGCCACCCGCAGTGAGAGGAGAGGATCTGGGCGAAGGCCCGCCTCCGAAAGGCAGTCCGAGGGAAGGGAGCGGGCGCCCGGCACGTCTCCTACTGAGATTACACGGGCATTACCATGGTCACTGACTTCTCAGCTGAGCGGCGAGCGTGACATGGGTCCCCAGTACTGCGATGCACAGGGTGGCTTCAGTCCCCGCGCCCGTTGGGGCCGCGCACCTGGCCTCCTCCGGCCGAACCGCCACCGGCCCGGGACCTCGCCACGCCTCTCAGG